TTTTGTCTAACTCCAGACAGCCAACACACTGCAAAAAATATAAATCTCAATAAGTTATTTTTTCTTAAAATAAGTGTGTTTTTCCTTGATTTGAGGAGATAAGTAAGACACTTTGCCAATGGAACAAGACAATTTCCTTTTAAAATAAGAAAAAACTATTTTATCGTCTTATTTCAAGTAAATATTATCTAACTATCTTATTTTAAGAGAGAAAATACTCATTCCATTGGCAAATCATCTTATTTACCTGCTCAAATTAAGGCTAAATATACTTAATTTAAGCCATTTTTTACTTATTTCTGGATTGTTTTTGCAGTGCAGACAATGGGAAGCGTGTGCCTGCAAGTCAGCGTTGAGGGTTTACAGCCTCACTGTTCCTTGTGCCCTACACACAAAAAGGTCACATATCCCAGTCAATGAAATGATGTTAAATGGACTGCTGGAGCTCTGGTGGCCTGATTTGCCTCTGGGGCCTGTGGTGGCAATATGGCTGACAATTATAACACAAAAAGAGGAAAAAAAAAAAAGAATGAAACACCCCTGGGTAGCAATCGAAATGGAAGTAGATTCTCCTCATCTGTTTGCCCAGTCCTCCAAACTACATCCATTTTTCTTCTCTCCAGCGATCCCTCCTGCTGGCAGGTGTAATCTGCTCCCCTTCACACCTTGTCAGAAGATGACTATGTTCACTGTGGCGACCCTCTACCCACAGGGGAACATCGCCGCCGCTATCTGCATGACAACCAGAGGCTGGGCACGCTGCTGCCGCCACAGTTTGAAGGGCTGAGTGAGGGGACGCTGATAAGTATTCTGCTGAGGCTTGTCAGAGCAGATCAAGATACGATCTGCACGGTAAATTAGGTTCTATTTTCCTTCAGCGTCGGGGGGGGAGAAACGGCACAAGCTGCAGCCATGGAAAATCAGGGATACTCACATTAGATGCCATCGGTCACACATTTAGAAGCCTAATTGGATAGAAAGGCTTCATAAACGATGCCATGTGTTTGTCAGAGCACAAATGAAATATGGTCGCAGTGTCGGGAAAATCTGTGTGAAATCCTTTATCTTTATGAGATCAAACGCTTCATTCTGACAAGTTTTTTTTTTTTTTTTTTACTGAATACTTGCCTTTTTTATATGGGCAGTTCTGGCAATTAGAAGCCCAATTAAAGACAGTCATTTCCTTTTACAAACAGATTAAGGATTTGAAAAACATCATTACCACCTTATCTTAATTTTGCATTTGAAGAAGCAAGGAAATGTATCACTGGTGCTTAGATAGAGGACGCAGGTGAGCCACCTGTGATGACAAGTAAGACACTAACGATAAAAAGAGAATTAATTGGTTCTCTTAACTCTCAATTAATATGTTTCTGTATGATTTCAACATTTGCACTGCAGCCATTCCAATACGAATAAGTCGGTTTTTGATAATATAACTGTAATTTCCCCTTGTTTTGAGTAGGTACAGTAAGACAATTTACCAAAGAAATAAAATTATTTAGTTTCAAGAGAAAAAAATCAACTTCATTTTCTTATCTAATTATTTATTTTTAAGGTAGAAATACTCATTCCATTGGAAGAACCTCTTACCTACCTGCTCAAAAGAAGGACAAATACACTTATTTAAAGTTCATTTACACTCAGAAGGTTAAGATTTTAAATAAATAAAAGATGATTTGATCACAAATTAAATATTCTTTAGTTTTTTCTTATTAGTGCTAAAAAAATATCAACTGATTAAAGAATAATAAAAGGATTTTAAAATGTAAGCTAGCAGAGTTTAGATTTTGACCCAGCAGAATGTCATTCAACAGTTTTAAATTGCTAAAATAACAACAGAAATGTGACTTAAGGACATACTGTCCACAGATACAACACCGGGTTAAGTTAAAAGTAACCCGGCATAAGTCAGATTGATGCTGTGTTCAAATTGCATCGCAGGAATCGATCTGGAAAGCCTCATGTTTGCAAAAGCGAGGGATATTCAGCACAATTCTTGAACCTGATTGGGTACTGCCTTCCCTGTCAAATTTTAAGCCAATCACAGCAGCAGTGGTTTCAAGAAGTTAACTGATTTTTAAAACTCTTACCCAATCCGTATTCTGTCAGACCAGCATACCTACAGTCAATATGCATGCGCAACATGTCAGATTTGCATATATCCCTTTAGTTTTGCAAGAAAAATAGACTTAAACGACCTCAACGGGCTTGTATCCTTTTACTCATGTACAAAAAAAAATATTTAAGGTCAGATCGCCATACGATAAAAAAAACCCCACCAAAAATAAAGTAATTAAATAGATTTTTTGACTAAAGGGATACATGCCCATTGGGGCAGTTTAAAGTCTATTTTTTGTACAACACTAAAGGGATAAATGGGTATTGACTATTAGCCTGACGTAGTCCTACTCAATTCTAGTCAGACCGAACTTCCCGACCTCAAACATTGTGGGCGGGATTAAGTTCGGAATGGCACCCAGGCTAATTGACTATAGGTATGCTGGTCTGACCTGGTAAACTCATCTGACAGAACACGGCAGTGCAAACCTCTGCCCATCCACAAAGGCAGAAGTCCAACATTCTTTTCCTCATCTTTTCAAAATGAAATAGAGACCATTCCAGCTAAAACTGCCATGTTTGTTCTGCTTCAGCCTTTCGCCTCTGGTTAACGTATTTACGTCATACTTGTCACAGCAATTCATTTGGAAACCTTTCTGTATCGAGGAAAACGCATCAGCTGCAGATGTATTTTCAGGAGTTTGTGAATTCCGAAATCTTGCAATAATTAGTTTTGTTTACAAGGTATGGTTAGAAGCTTTGTTTGGTCTAAATGGTCCCCTATGTAGAGTCCTACCAGTCCTTTAACCGACCGTCCACAATGCATTGTTTTATTCATATGAACAGTTTAGCAGGTCAAATTGCTCCATTTTTGTGGTGCACCAATCACTCCTCAATAATCAAAATTGAACACATTCCTCTTCATCGGCTCAGTTCAGCATTTAGCGGATTACTGTCAGATAAATCTGCATTATAACATTATCAATTATTATCTTTGTCATAACATCAACAAACTAAATTTACTTTGATGCACCTTCTGGCATAAAGACAATGTTTAAAAGTTTTACTTAGTCAGCAGAATTCTGACGGGTGCATTTTTAATTGACCTGAATTCAGTTTATTTATGTAGCTCCAATTCCCAAAACATGTCATCTCAAGGCACTTTAGTTAGACAATTCAATCAGATCAAACATTAAGATTGGTTAAAAATGTTCAACCTAAGTTAGACAAGCTGACTGCATCAACTCATTGACTTTATACTGTAGATATTGCCTCCTTCACTCAAGCAATGCCAGATTATTGTTTTTGTAAATCTACTTGCTATGACTTCCAGATCCTCAGAGGATTAGGATATCCTGGTATTTTACAGGCAAAAATGTCTTATTGCTGCATTTTTTAACCTTTAAATGAAATATAAACATCACAGCACAGAATTGTACTCTGAAGTACTGAAGTGTATTTTAAAACTGTTCGTGTAACCATTCTGAGTAAACCAGCGATTGTTTAGAACAGGGGGACAGACCAATAACTGCTGTTAGGGTCTCTGGGGTTTGGCTGTTTTTCTGGTGTGAGTGAGCTTCATGTCACAGAGAGGATCTTTGTGGAGAATACATCTCAATCAAGATGACTAGCGTGTATATAAGGAGGCAAAGGATCATCTCTCTACGCTGGATGGTTACCCCGACAGTATTCCAGCCAAAGACCTAAACCAGGAATATCTTTCTTGTTCAAATGTGTCTTTTTTGTGAATCTTTAATAATGTGGACTCTGTTATTGTTCTGGACAACCAGTGAGCCTCAGTTTATCTCTGATCTTCACCTGTTTGCAGCAGTTCTCAGTCCTCATCACCTCCTATCTGCTTTCCAGTACGACATCTCTTGCAGGTACCAACGCTCTCGGATCTCACTCACATTCTACTGGACCTTTGGGGCACAGCCTGCAAAGCCCACTGAGTTAACCCTTTATGGGGCACTCAGAGAAATACTTTGAAAATCAAAATTTCAAGCCAATAGTGTTATTGGAATTCAATAGAAGACCTTATTACCTTTGTAACTTTCAAAAAGTACATATATTTTGATGGCAAAAATGAGTGTCAATGTAATAACAACTAACAGCAACTTGCCCAAATATATTAAGAAAAATAACAAAGAAATTCATGAAAAACACTTACAATTTTTTTGGTTTATAAACCTATATATAATTGTTAATTAGGCTTCATAACTTTTTAACTTTTCAATTAGCTTTTTTACTTTTTTCTTGACTTGTTAACTTTTTTTCAGCTTAATTTACAGTAGGTAATATTCAAGGGCTCATCTAATTGGTTAAATGCCAAAATTAGATGTACAGCCATGTTGCAGTATCTTTGCTGAATGGCTGGATATAGATCTTGTGTTTCTAGACCTCACTGAGGGAGTGGGGGACTCCATTTGTAAGGGGTATGCAAGTCATCAAAAACGGCAACTTGCCCTGTAAATGGTTAACCTCTCCTTTATCTCTCAAGTACATCAAATCAGTCATCAGATGTCATCAACCAACTCGTTTCTGATCAGTCTGCTTTCTCCCCTCAGACCGACCAGAAGGATACTGATCTTGTTTGCTTTTTATAAATAAAACGTTAAAATTCACAGGTTCTCAATATGATTCTGGATGTGGGTCAAAAAAACGCACAAGCCAACGTGGCAACTGCAGCCTTTAAATAAAGCATCTATCTGGGGTTTGTTGATAAAATGTAAACATCCCAGGCTCCTGCTACAGTTCACGTTTCTCAGACTTTACAGAAACTTGTGTTGATATCAGATGCCTGACGAGCTGCCGGAGTTATTTTCGCATTCTGAAAATCCACAAACGACTGTACCACAGGTCAGTTGGGAAAGTTAATTACACCACTTCAATGGATGATTGGTTAACATAATTACAGCATTTCAAAGTCCATTTCCTACCTTCCTCGCAGCTGCCGGGCTTCGCCACATCAATTTTCATCTTCTGCGTGCAGGACGACCTGTGGAGCTCGCACTCGTTGTCGTAGGTGATGCCGTTACTGCCGCACACCGGAGAGGTGGCCTCGCCTGAGCACTGCGGGCACTCGCACTTCTTCTCCACACACCGGGCACCCCAGCTACAGACGGTGCTGCCGCATGTTTCTGTAATGAGAGAGACTGTAAGGACCATCTCAGTCATTTAAATTAGATTTTATCCCCCATCAACCTGGTTTAGGGTTTAAGGTTTGTATCCTATATTTAATTTCCTGCTTTAATCCAGTGGGACTAAAAAAATAAAGATCAGAAATCTTTCTGTAAGAGTCACGGTTTGTTTCTAACCCAAAAACAGAAAGCGTGACGAACTGAAATGACTGCTGACATGCTGCATGAGTGTTCATGTTACGTACTGCACTCTCCCTGGCTGACCACCCGCAGCTCCATCTGCTCCTTGCAGGAGCGCACATTCAGCTCACACTCGCTGCCGTAGGTGTGGCCGTCGCTGCCGCAAACGGGCTGGTGGGACTCGACACACTCGGATGGGCACACGCACTGACCGCTCTGGGCGTCACAGATCGCCCCGAAGGAGCAGTTGGTGCAAGATTCATCTGGAGAGAAAAACAAAAAGAAGGGTCAGGACTTACTATGCTGGAGTTTATGTGTGTGTGTGTGTGTGTGTGTGCAGCCACGGTGAAATTAGCACATAACTTCTTTTCTAACTTATGTTATCAATATGCAAATTCTAAAGCCTTACTTAGATTTTAATGATCCTTGAAAAATTCCTCAAGTGAAAGTGCAATTTTTTTGGCATTTTATCTTTCATTAGCTTCCAAACATTCATCCGTACATATAAAAAAAAAAATCCTAATCAGCAACGATATTAATATGTCATTAAGGACTTTCGGTAATGAAAAATACTGCTTGCTTTTGATTCTTTGGTAATTAGTGAAATAAGCTGATTCGGGCTGACATTTCAGATCTGTAAAAATCTAACAGTGCAACCTGCAAAAAAAAAAATTAATAAATAAAAATAAAAAAGGCCCTTTAGCAGCAACTTGGGACCGGATCATAAATCAGCTTAATAAGTGTTTTTCATATTAGGTGATACTGAAGTGCTGACGAGTAAAATTAAAAAAATATAAAAGTGATTTAAAAATTAAAATACTATATGAAGCCCAAACAGTGAGGTGATGTTTTTGGATGGTGCTGAAATCAATTTTCTGTGCGATTGTCAGGTTTCTGCCCTTTGCTTGGGTTTATTTTTAAGTTTTTTTTGTGTTCTGTGTCTTTGTAGTTATTTCTACCAGTGCCGAGTTCTTAAGTTACCCTCTGTTGCTCCCTTGTCCTTGTTTTCCTTTCCCCTTGGCTTCCTCCTAGTTGGTCCTGCCCACACCTGCTCCCAATCTGCTGATTGGGAGCGATTTGCTGGTTTGTTGTTTTGTTGCTTCCTCATCTCTGGTTCCCCACATGTGTTCTCCCTGACACTTTGGTTATCTGTATTTTGGTTCTCAGTATTTTTGTATTTCTGCCTCAGTTACTGTACCTATTAAATCTGCAAGACTCAACTCTGCCTCCTGATATCTGCATTTAGGTCCTCAAAGCCCTCCACCCAACCGTGACATCAACATTACATCAGATTAAAAATAAATCAGCCAAGATATCAGGTAGAAAACTTTGAACTTCCTTTAAAACAGTTCCTCGTTTGGTACGATATTCAGATGACTAGAGGTCAACAATTCTTTCAACCATGGGAATGTCCAGATTTCTCTCTATTCATGTCTGTATACCATAGATGTGAAGATACTGGATGAATTTAGATCATGGCAGCAAAATCTTGTGTAACGTTTTACGTAGACTGGGAAATGATGGTAAACAAACCTTGGCTAATGTTGCTAATGCTACATCCATGTGAACATACAAACACAAGTCGTATTCATGTGTGTACCCTTGAGGAATAAATGGGTTGTCAGAGTTGCTGTCATGACCAGATAACTGCAGGTGTGCTTCCTTCACACCTGCCACCCATCTTCTCATCATCTGGACTTTATTATCAGCCAGTTTCTCATTGCCGAGTTTGACCCTTGTGGTAACCTAGATCACTTAGAGCTTCCTGAGTATTTTTGATGCTTTTCTTGAGAACAAACCACCTAACTGCAGAATTGTCTTGTTTTTTCTCATTAAAAGCTGCTTTGACATTGCCTGCCAAGGCACACCTGTCTACTTTCTAACACACCCATTCAGCTGGAAGCTTCATTCAGAGCTATTCTCTCCCACTCCTAATGGCTTCATTACTGCTCCAACCAGTAAGGCCTCTTTACCTTCATCTTCTCAAATTGACTCGTTATTTTTTTTCTATTTCACCACTGAATCTCCTCTTCAGTGACCTGCGCCCTATTTGGAGCACAGCACATGCATAAAACCTGCATTGTGAAGAATAATCAGACCTGTACAGAAATATGACAACATAAACACAGATTCTATAAAATACACTCTGCGATTAGCAAATGCTTTGTCAAGCAGACATAGACACTGATAAACCTCTGTGAGAGAGCGGCCATCTTGGATCAGACCAAGCTGCAATCAGAGAGAATACACATAATTTGAGTGTGAACTGTCAGCTGATTTCCAGATAAATTGGCTGAATGAGAACATCAACATATCAGGGGCTACATGGGACCGAAAGATTTAATATAAATGTTTTAATTTCATAAACAATTTAGAATTTGTACTTGTACTTACATTTGTATTCTCTAAATGATCATGCAGTGTGGCGCTGCAAGCTTGCAGCATGTACCACACAAACACCTCTGGATTCTGCATAAGTACTAGGATGAACTGGAAAAACCACAGGGTGTATTAAAGCTGCAGGCGTGGTGTCTGTGCATTGTATTTCTGTGCAGAACATGCATACATCAAGTATAAATCTTCCTTTACTGGCATCCCTAACAGTTACTGTAACTTGTGCATCCATTCAAATGTTTGCTTTATTATTTCAGGTTGCTCAAGAGTGTCAAGAAACACCAGAATAGTGACCTGTGAATCGCGAGGGCGTAGATAAAGCACTGAAGTCACTCCTTAAAATCAGAAAACCAGGAGAACATACTATTCAAAATGGAGTAGATGTGTCTTTAACTTTATAGGTGAGGAAATGGTTACAGCTAGTGGTTGGCGTTAAAAGGTATAGTGAAGGATGTTCTTTTTCTGGGTGGATCATCAAAATAAGTGGTCCTCCTAACTGTCAATCATTCTGGTGATATGTTTACGTAAGGCCATCCCGTCTGACATAGTGGAGAAATTGCAAATCATTTTCGGAAAGTAAGTTTGTATGAACGATGCAAACAGCAACTTTTAAACAGCACTTTTAAACTCGTCCGCGTTTAATAAGTGTTTCCTCTTGGTAGCGGGTACAGGGTTGTGCATGTGAATTTGTTTTTTTAAAGTGGAGAGGGCGGGTCTTCTCAGAAATACGCAAAAATCCTCCACTATACCTTTAATATAAGTGGTTTAACTGCGAGAAAAGAAGCTGCATAAAGGTTTAACAGATTTTTTCCAGATATAGGGACTTATTTCAGTTTGCCATACAGTAAACAAAGATGCCAAAACATGCAAATTCACCTAACTGATAAGATTACTCACAAATATATGGTTGTTTTGAATAATCCAATGAGATCTAATGAACCAATGAGATATGATAAAGTAGCAGACCTATCAAATAAAAGATAAAGGCTTTTGGAAAAACAACAACTCTGCTTAACAAATTATCTGCAGGGGAAGTAGGGCTTAAAGAAATGATGGATAGATGGCTTCCATTACTTGAAGCACCAAAAGATCCCTTTCCAGGAAGTTAAATAACTGAACAGATATAAACTTTGAAAAGAGAGAGAGGAGGATTCAGGAAGAACATCTCTCTCTGTAGTACTCCATTATACAGCCTTTATGGGAGGCTGGTCAGAATCTCAAGCCATTCCTGTGAAAAAGCCGCATGAGAGCCCGGCTGCAGTCTGCCAAGTAACACTTACAGCGTTCTAAAAGCACCAAGGAAAAAGATTCTCTGGATTGATGAGACGAGAATTGAATGCTTTGGCCTGAATGCCAATTGCTGTATCTGTTGAGAGCCAGCTACAGCCCATCACCTGGCTACACCAGCCCTGTGGGGAAACGTCGTGCCAGCAATGGTTTTTCTGTAGATGCTTCAAAGCTGCAGGTACTGGGAAATAAGTCAGACATGAGTGAGAGAGTAACACTCTCAAACTTGTATTTGCAAGTTTGTTGAGTTGAAATCATCTTCCCGACAATATTCAGTATATTTCCCTTCCAAACTCTATTCTGAAAACAGCAGATAATGGTTATATTTCTTCTATATTATTCTTCTAAACAAAATAGAAGGAAGCTATTGTATTCTTCATAATATGTCAGGATCCTTTCATGTATCAGGAAATGAGTTTTCAATGTAAGGGAGCATTAGGACAGAACCAGTCAGGCCCCATGGGGGAAGAAGATGTTGCAGACAGAAGTGAAAACACCGTTCTCTCTGATACCAATTACAACTCAAGGACTGCATTAGCTTAGCTCCCTATCACAATCAATTACTGTGCAGCCTAATAACTACTGATGACTTAGCTCTAATTGAGAGAAGTGAGGCTGCCCACTGCAACCTTCCATGTCATTAATCTGTTTATAACTCCTTCAGTCTTTCACTTCCTCCATCTAATCATCTAATGCTGACATCCTCCCTTTTCTCTGACTAAAAGCCTGGACTCGGCTCTAGTTAAGCCAGCATGTAATCTCACTACGTGTCTATTTGGAAAAAAAAATATTGCTTCTTTTTAATCACACTCTTTTAAAAAAACATTTCCTAAATTTAGAAGATGCTTGGGGAATATTTCTAAAAAAAGATGATGGTTGTGCCAGCTTAGTCATTCAGCTATCAGGCTGATAAACTAGTACACTGTATAGTAGTAGTCAATCAAAAGTTCCCCAATATCTTGATTGGCCCTCAGCGGCTCATTTGCTCACCGCTTACAATTCGTTTTTAAACATAAATCTTTGTACAAAAATATTCTTTAAGTCATGATTTTAGGACATTAAAATCTAAAGAGAAGTGCCTTCTCCTTTTCAGACCCTGTAATTTAGTGAAAGGCTGGAGTCAGAGTACAACAATATGCAAGAAGGTTCCGGGGTCTTTCTGCATGGAGTTTGCATATTCTCCCTGAGCATGCGTTGGTTCTCTCCGGGTACTCCGGCTTCCTCCCACAGTCCAAAAACATGACAGTTAGGTTAATTGGCTTCTCTACATTCTTCTTAGGTGTGAGTGTGAATGGTTGTATGTCCTGTTTGTCTCAGTGTTGCCCTGCAATGGACTGGTGACCTATCCAGGGTCTACCCCGCCTCTCACCCGTAAACAGCTGGAGATAGACACCAGCACCCCTCGCAACCCGAAAATTGATGAGAATGGATGGGTCACTCCAGTGAATGGAAGTTGGAGGGGATTTTGCTGGGAGTTCCAGGGAAGTGGGCTGCCATTAGTCTGGTGTTTGACGGGAAGGGCCACACTGGAAAAAAATCTAAATCTAGTCATTGTTTCTTAAAATAAGTGCATTTGTTTTGG